AATAAACATTTTTAAAAATGAAAACTATCCTCAATTTTTAAAAATAAAAATAAAAAAAATTAAATATGACTTATTTTCATCGCTTGGGGTTAATAGAGAATTTAATCTTCACCATTATTAGGGCTGATGCATACGCAGCTCAGGGCCATGTGAAGGCCCCAGGTGTGTTTCATAACTTCAGGCTTCAGTAGTCTTTGTTTGCTAATATGGAATATTATCCAAACCTGCATAGCCCCTATGGTCTGATTGTTCTGCTATTTCTATGATATATTTGGGCACAGGGAACTTTGATAAGTACACCTTTAGTCACAGTAAATAGGCAAATAAATCTTCTAACCTCTCCAGGGTATTTCAAGGGTCTGAATCACTGTACCCACTTGTTGTGGAAACCACAAACTTTAGATCAAGCCCTGTGGTTGAAAAGCCTTTTCTCTATGATGTTTCCAATTTCCCACCCCATAGTCTCTACTTCATGTCTCTGTGTATTCCTTGAGAACACAGTACAACGTCCCCAGTAACTTATGTTTTTATAATAGCTTGAGTGATCATAAAATTTGTCATTCAAACCAGAACATTTTGAGAAAGGATTAATAATCATGGCAAGGCAACAGATAAAGCTGGTTGTCTTAGATTAGGCTCCCCAGCAGATTCTGATTTGTATTAAAGTGATTTCTTAAGATATATTCCCAAGGAAACATGGTAGATGAGTGCGGAGGTAGAACTAAGAGAGAAGCCAAGCAAGAATGCCATTTCCAGTCAAGTCCCACAAAAGTGAGGGTCCCAGATCAAGTACAACACATCCAGTTACACTGGATTTCAAGTTGAACAAAAATTAATTTTTTGGCATACATACGTTCAGAATATTGCATGAGACATACTTAAAAACAATTTCTTCCTGGACATCCTGTATTTTTATTTGCTACATTTGGCAACCCTACCTAAGACGTCTCTGGAGAGGGAAAAGGTATGGGTCACACTTAAGAGGGCCAGGGGACAAGGGAGCTAGAATATTTAAACCACTGCACCCATCAGTCAGTAAGTGCAGCTCTAGATGAATATAAATAACTTCCCAGATACTTCCAGTTCTCTGTGTGCTGCCAAAGTGGGTCACAGGAATCTGTGAGGAGCCTTCCCACAAAAATACAGAAGTGCCCACTGTTGGGACAGAAGACACACTTCCATGAAAAAAAATCTGAGGGGTTATGGGCAGAGCATGGGCATCATCTGTTGCCCTCGTATGAACCCAGGAAAAAAGAGATATGTGGTCAACCTAACATAGGTAGCAGTCTATGCTTACCACTGGAAAGAGCTCCTAAGACAGGAAAAAACACTTTTTTGGAATTGAAGGGTAAGGGTTCTTCAAGGACACTGGAAAAAATAGTATGCCCCATCCTCATACTCACAAATTTACATCTCAATAAACTACCTTGCCACAAGAAATAACTGGGACATATATCCTCCATTTTCCAGATATGGAAATGAATTGATTCCTTGAAGACTATTTTAACATGACAAAAATTGAAAGGTCATGAAATGAAGCTTCTTGCTTTACTTTCACACAAATTTAGCCATTTATATTATCCCATAAATGGAGCTAACATACATTATTTACACTCTACCTGAAGATTTATTGGAACTTCATGTTGTACAGAAGGCAATGCCTCCCCCAATTAAGAGTGAGAAAACTCAGAAGATAAGACATAACTTGGAAAAAGCTTCCATTTCCTTTTAGGTTCTTCCAGTAACTTCATATCCTAAACTTAATGTATAGGCATCCTAGATAATGAGGATGCTAATTACTATTGGAATTTTCCTCTTACCCAAAGGACCTGTGTAGTTAAATTATTCTAAAAGTTAACTATCATTTTCTGATTCCTTAGGGTGAGTCAGGAAGTCACACAGTGAAAATCTGCCTTGAGATTTATTTATACTATATTATATGTAATATATACTGCCTAATTATTTAAACACAGAAATATTATTGCTTTACATAGATAATTCACAGTTTCTATTCTACTGGACTTGGCCATTAATTACCTCATTGAATCTGTTACTACATACATATAAGTATGAATGTACTTATCCTAGAGACAGTGTTTAATAGCACTACATAGCCAATTGTGATGTACTTTAAGGAAATATGAGAAGTAACTTTAAGTAGAGAGCCCTAATTGGGATGTATACATACTTTCTGGCAAGCCATATTATACAGATCCTCTTCTCTTGAGAGCCAAAGGGCCAAAGGTATACAATACAGGGTAATGAATGCTTTTGTACAGAGAAATATGGAACAAGTTGTTCCTTAAGCAGGAAGAACCTTGGCCCCTCCTGACTTATTTGATTATATCCATGTTCCTTCACTTAGCCTGCAAGGTTTACCTTTACCTGGCCCCTGCCTCCTTTCTAAGCTCCCCTCCTAGTGGTCCCCTTTTTAGTACACACTATATATAGACATGCACAATTAACATTGTATCTTCCCTTCTTTGTTCAATCAGCTCCATCTCAGGGAACCGGGTCACCACATCCCTTCCTTGCTTTCCTTGGCTAATAGCTACTTGTACTTTAATATTCCATTCAGAGAACAAACTACAGGAAGACTTCTCTGTTCTTTCATCAGTTTGGGTACATATTTGATTTAGTCTCCCAGTATATATACTATCTTTACAACTTGATGCATTGGTGTACTTGACCTACTTATTTATCCCATTCCCTGGAGAAGAAATTTTTTAGAGGAGAAGATGAGCTCTAACTTTCTTTACATTCTCTAAATTTAGCAGAACATCCAGAACACATAGAAGAGTTTCAGTAATAGCTTGATGAATGAATAATAGATGAATGAATGATGAAGACTTTGGATGACTACGAACACTGAAAATCAATAAGCATGAATGCAGGGTAAGAAAATATCAAGACTTCAGTTTAAATACAGGTCTAGTTTGTTCTAAGTTGACCCTTAAATAAGGCTATGATGCACATAATTGTTAGATGGTAGATTTATGAAATATTATGTTAATTCCACAGCTAAACGGAAACATGAAATTCATTGTAGAGTTTTTTATAGGTCATTAATTAAGAAATGGTTTAATATACAAAAATTTTTACATCCCAGTTTAAATTATTTTTCATATTCATACATACATATGAATATATATAATATAAATTATATATATATACATATGAATATATAATATAAATTATATATATATATGAATGATTATAGTAATTTTACTCTGAGGAACAAAATCATAATTATTCATGTATATATATCTACATCATCTTATTCCTTAAGAGCTAAAGAAAACAAGAATTAACTTTTTAAGAGTTAAAGAAGTCAATTGATTAGTTCTATCAAAATCAATGAATGATATTTAAAATGTCAGACCAACTCCAAGCACTCTCTATTTTTTTTTAATTCCCGTGAAAAGAAAAATTTCATTAAGTTTCATCAGAAAAAATAGAGATTGCCTAAGACCAACAAACTTAGAACTAGATTCTAGTAATCTAGATGATTAGGACTCTGCCTATCATCAAAGCATTAGACCATTACTCTCTCTTACTATTTAATTAGAATCTGGTAATTGTCATTTTGCACATAAATTAAATTCTTTGAGGCACATTAGATCATACCCTAACATTTAAATAATGCTTTTCATCTTTAATATAATTTATAAACATGAATTAGTAATCTTCCAAAGTGGCTATTTGAAAATTTTATCTCCCTTGGAAGTAATTATGCCTAAAATTTCTACTTAGTGGCATTGTACTTAATTTTGCAACTATTACACTTCATAACTAAACTAATCCATCACTTTTTCCCCAATTACCATTTACTTTGATACTAAATGAAATAAGCATTAGACACTTAAATAGTAATTTTATCAAGGACTGAGACCAGTGAACAGTTTGACCTGCATATTCTAGTTCTTGTGCTTCTGGAGCGGGTCTCAGTGGTGGATGGAGTTCTATTCCTTGGAAATAAACTGGACGATAGTCTTTTATACCCGGTTCTTTAGTAAGAAAAAGTGTTTACCACTGAAAGTATCACTTAGGTGTCATATTACTGGTGAAATGAAAGGGAGAACTGTGTTATGTATCATTTTTTGGTTCGCACTCAATGAACAGAGACACGTTCAGATAATGTGAGTAATGCAGGTTTATTTTGACAGGACAGAAGACAGGAGACAGGAAACAGGAGAGAAGATACATATCTGTGAATGTCACATTCAAATTTCCCCACTGAAGGGAGATAAATGCCCCTTTGGGCTCTTGATATATCCTATATTAAGCCCTAGGCTACTAGCTGTTTGCTCAGTCAACTGGTTACAGACCAATTAAATGCTGGACAGAATGGCAGGGCCACATGATATAAGGTATAGTGATCTTTGTATAAAGATCTTTTTGGTGGAGAGCTGAATAACCATCAAATCCTTACCAAATGTCCAAAGAGGACAAAGTAAGTGGCAGGTATATGAGGCTTATCAGAAGAAACACATTACAACTGGTGATGGTGAAACGTCAGAGTTTTTCCAGTATAAAAATAATCATTTATGGAGTAATTACTTTGTGTGATATACACTGCATATGTCAATTATTTTATTTAATCATTATAGCAACACAGGAAGGTAAACATTGTTAGCCTAATGTTGTAGATGAGGCCCAGAAATTTAAGGAATTTGATCAAGTATACATGGCTAATAAGTACTAAAACTAAAATATCAGCTCAGGTTTGCCTGTTATTTCCTCAATAAAACCACAATGCCTTTCTTGGCAATTATTATAAACTCAATTAATGGCTGTAGGTTGATGCTCATGCTGATTGGTCATATGCATACAATAATCTCTTAATCTTGCTAACTTGGAGTAGATTTCTCTCCTGCTTGGGAGAGGGAAACAAAAAATTATACACATTTATGTATGTGGAAGAAATAATTATTTTTCTTTGGCTCAAAACTAATGGGCATTCAGCACAGACAAGATCATTAAAAACAGTCAGGGAGTACCTTGTCCCTTGTCCTCTGTCTCCTAGGCTGGTGCTTCTTGAATGGTACCATGATGCCTCATTGCCTGCTGACCTTTCTACTGGACAGTCACCATTCTTTTTATAGCTAGAAGAAAAATATAATAGTTCAAATCACAGGTAAATCAAATATACTCTGATACGATGTACACAGCATTTTGCTCTCTATAGAACAAATTCTGCATTGATAAATAACTTCTAGAAAACCACATATAAACTACATGGACTCCAAGAAAAATTTAGACCTTTGATCCTAGAATAGAATATCTTGAATATTAAAATAGGTTTCTCACTAGAATTCAGCAAAATAATAAAAAAGAAACCTTTGATTTTGCTTATTGAAAAAAACTCTTTAAATTTTCCATATTGCAATCAAATTTTTATTGCATAGCAACCAGCAAAGATGGTGGTGATAAAATAGAAGAAAAACTAAATAGCAAAGTACTTCTGAAGCATATCATGTTCTTCTTTTACTGATACAGATTTTGAAAAGTCTCTTTGAACCTACAAATTGACCTATTCGGAAAAAAACACCCAAAAATATATAATGACAATAATGTGATTTGTGAGCATTAAGGCTTTCAAACCAACCTCTATCCCTGAAAAAAAGGCATGCTTCATGTATTTATTATCTAAAAAAGAGGAAGTACTTCTAAAGAAGCTTTTACTTCTATGTTCTAAAATATATATATATTTTATTTTTTCTGAAACCTGAGAAAATACCCATAAAATTCAAAAGACTGTAGGAAGTGCTTGCTCTTACACAGGCAATAAGAATTCCTGTCTTGCCCAGAGGCTACAGCAAATCTAGTTCTTTTTAAGAAAACTGGCTTTCTTGGCCTATGGAATTTTGTTTAAAATGTGTTTTGCCTTATGAGTAATGTAGTTTCATCGACTCCTTATGTCTATATAAAGCACTTTATTCCTGTGATACTAAACAGTAGTATTAGTCATTCGAGATTTTCAAGTTGTCATCTCTCTGGATCCCTCTGGCTAATACCGTTCTCCTTTCCTCTCTTCCTCCCCTAGGAAATAAGGTTTCTATTTAAACAAAACCATAAAGTAGTCAAAATAATTTACCAATTTCCAAGAAGGAAGCTAAATGCAAATGTGCTCTCTTTTGCACAAGGTAAAGGGTCAAATGAATAGATATTCTAGCAACACCTCAACAATGAGGAGGTCTTGAGAGTAGAGTCTACTGACTCAGAAACATTACATGGACTACATGGATGACACAGACATTTCTTCTGCTTCCACACCACGCAGGAAAAGGTAAACTCTGGGATCTTGCTGCATTCTTGGCCCCATCAGACAACAGTGGCATGAGGCTTCTTCTGATCTAGTTGCCATAGGGGTTCTAGCATATCTCTCCTGGGAACTCTAAGACACACTAGCTTTTAATCTTTAGGCTTTTCTCTCATTCTCCTCTCTCTTTCATCCCAGACAGGGCAGAAATTTTAACCTCACAGATAGAAAAAACTGACGTTGACTGATCAAAAAAAAAAAAAAATCTAATCCTTCTGCCATATGGAATAGTTGGAAATATCAAAAAAAGAAGCTTCCATCTGTTTACATCTCAAAACATTATCCTCACATACTTATTCAAATTGATGTCTTTTCAGCAGATATCTTTGCCTGCTAAAGACAAAAATGTCACAGAAATTGGGAACATTTGACATCTCCTTATTATGTAGATGCTTTTTAAAATTGTGGCTCAAATCTTTTAAGGCACTATATAAAGAACCCAATGTGGTTCCTGAAACATAGTAAATATTCAACTAATGATACTCATTTTTGATTATTATTGTAAGACTAGGTTTATAATTATTTAGAGTAGGACCTGCCACCAGAAGAATGTGACCCAATTTCAAACTCTGTTTAGGTTGACCTGCTTCCCCAGGTATCCCAGCTCCAAAGTTACCTTTCTTTCATTGTTTTTAGTCTTTTAAACTGAATTTTGTCACTCATTATTCACAGTCCTCATTCAGCAAATATTCAGTAAGGTAGCAAGCATTATACTAAATAAAAATAATAAAATAATAACATTATTGTGTTAACAATAACTAACACCACCTTGCCTTCACAGAACTATAGTCTAGTGACAGAGATAGGTATTAACCAAATAATTACCCAAACTGCTATTATCATACGTGCTAGGAAGGAAAGCTGCAAGAGAATGTATTTGTCAAGGAAGTCAGGGAAGGCTGCATTGCTTGATCTGAGACCTGAGAAATGTCTCAGACTCCTTCTTCAGTTAGGAAGTGGAGGAGAAGGGAAGAAATTATGCTCCAGGCAATGAGGATAACATGTACAGAGACCCTTGGGTAGAAAATTACATGACAGTAACTATGGATTATTGTAAGAAGGGAGAACAGAAAGGACAAGAGAATAGTGCAAGATGCGGTTAAGGTTGGGGAGTTAGATATAGGTGAGGTCATTCAGGCTCTTAGGCTTTAACATGGACTCTAGCTTGACATTCGTATCACAACTGAGGCTTGAAAACATGAGAGTGACATGGACATAATAGAAAATAAATTGAGAAGGGAACAAGTGGAAGCAGACTGACCTGGGAAGTAGCACTTTTCACTTGTACTGAAGAGATGCAGAGAAGTGAGATGTCAGCTCGCACGAGGAGTAGAATGGTGGCAGGGAGAAATGATGGAGTCCTGAATATTTAGGAAGTGAAGTCAACACCACTGCTAATAGACTACATGTGAGAGAGTGCATGAGAAGGAGGTGTTAAGGATGACTAACTGATTTCTAGTCTGGGTTCTGAATTGCAGGAAATAGGTTGGAAAGAAGTGTTTTAAAACAAGAAAATGATGTAGGCAGTGCCTTTACATTCATGGCCTGTTTTACTCATGTGTGTACAACAGCTAGTACTCTGGTGACAGGATGACTATGATTTTCTATAGATTTATAATTATTCCTCTACTAGAAACAGTACAAAGTTTAGTTTAACTTAGTTTCCTCCTCCCACCTCATATGATTACATTATTATAGAGGAGTAAGCCAATCCATTCAACAAAATCATATAACGTCAGCAATGCATAAGGATTTTAGGAGATGCGTGCCATTTTGAAAAAGGAAAAGATTGAAATAAGTCTACAAATATCAGTAAATTCTTAATATATGTCAGATATTCTCTATTTAACATCAAAAATAAATATATATGACCTATCAGTACTTTGGAAAATAGGAATATATGGGAATGTATGGCAGTAGTAGAAATTCATCATTTATTTCCAAAAATCCAATGTTTATAGATAAATAACCATATAATCATCCCCAAGCCTCTAATAGCGTTTTTTATGGACTAGATTTCTATTAGTATTGTACTCTGACTCAACTCCACACCCTGTAAAGTAGCACATCTAATTTTAAGTCATTGCTTACATTCAGTGTCATGGCATACGCTTGACTGTGGACCTATTTCCAATAACATAATCCCAAATAAACATATGTAACTTATTTCAAAGTAATAAAGAAGCCTTTTACTAGGAAATAGTGAGCATAAGTGATTATTTCTAAAATATGTTAATAATTAAATAACAAATAATACTGTTTTGAAGATCAATAAATACATATTCCATATATATTCATAACTTTACAATAGTGTAATCCAAGTTAAACCCCATCTCCAAGTTTCACCAAAAACACATTCCTGCTTTATGAGTATATATGTGACAGTTAAATTATGTGTTTATCATTTTCACTGAGAATATTTGACATTTATAGGTTGTGGTAAAAACAAATAGGGTAATTTTGCTGTCTTAAAAAAGACAAATCCGCTACAAAAACTGGATGATCTCTGCTTTCAAAGGAGGACAGATGCTGTTTCAAATGGGGTTTTTACATTTTTTCTCATATGTACATAAAATAAAGGGAATTGCAGACACTGACAAGCTTTGTCAACCAAATTGTTATAAGCAGGATACCTTAGTTCTGGGCTAATAGTCATTTAAGAGACAAGCCACTTATTGACTTAAATGAAATAAAATAATTAACACATTTCTCTTGCTGGGACAATCTGTGTTGTTATTCCCAGAATGTTCTGCTGAAGCAGACTTATTTTTATTGTAACATATGACCAAGGTTAGAGGTGTTCTATGGAAGCACAAGTATATCTAAGCCCTATCACCCAACCAGAATTATTTGCAACGTTTCCAGGGCATTACAATAGAGTTTTGTGTGACAGTAATTGCCATCAGAAAGGTCTAGATTTTCTCCCTACATTCTAGGTCAAAAAGAACAGCTTGACTTTCAGGTCTTCACCTTCTCTTGGGGGAAAGGGAGGTGTAAATTAGATACCACAGAACTTTCTAATCACAGCATTTAAGCTACAGTACTATAAAATGCTTGCTAGAGATTCAGGTTTTGATTTGCAAGATAAGTATCATAGAGTTCTTTGTGCATTCTCAAGGAAATAACCAAAGCTTAAAAGAGAGATGGGATTCCTCATTACAAATGAAATTATATTTGTAATTTTGGAGCTTTTATTACTCATCCTGTAAATAAGAGAATCCCTAAATGATACTTATCTGCAATAGATCACTAAGACAACATATTGTGAAAGTGTTATTTAGTATCCAGTTTTCAGATTCCATCCTATCATACATTTAACCAGGGAAATAAAAAACAAAATGGTGGGGCACCTGGGTGGCTCAGTCAGTTAAGCTTCCACTCTTGATTTGGGCGCAGGTCATGATCTCACAGTTCATGGAATCGAACCCCACTTCGGGCTCTAAGCTGACAACACGGAGCCTGCTTCGGATTCTCTCTCTCTCTCTTTATTTGACCCTCCCTCATTTGCTTGCTCTCTCTCTCTCTCTAATAAATAAACTTAAAAAAATTGTAACTAGCAAGTGTCACAGTTTTATGGCAAGATGGCATTGTGACTTGGGGCCGGAAAATCTGAAATCTTTATCTAATACTGCAGCAGGGTGCCCTGTAGAACTTGTCTCGAAATTCCACCATTTCCACTAACATCTCTTAATGCTTTCAAGCTGCACATCCCACCAAAAGGGTGACTGATCCTACTACTGTGGTACATCAGACTCCTATGTCTCATTTAATCACATTCTTTCATTTACTCAATATATAAAGACATTAATTCTTTTAATATGTACATGAAAAAAGAAATACCCAACATCTGCACAAGGCTTAATTTTAGATTTAAGTCTTATTTTTCCAGGATGTATCCTACTCCTTAAATATTGTAGGATCCCTTTGCATTGTTCAAAATATGGAAAATGTCTACTTCTCAGGTTTATTATCAGAATGAAATGAGACACCAGAATATATTAGTTGAATGTCCAAAACATTATAAATCTAAAAAAAGAGAGCAAAGAACTCTTTTAATCTTGTCAAGACTTTAAAATATATATATAGCTGATCAAAAAGAATTTAAATAATATAACAGAAAGTGAATTTAGAATAATAGTCATAAAATTAATCGCTGGGCTTGAAAACAGTATAGCTGACAGCAGAGAATCTCTTGCTACAGAGATCAAGGGACTAAGGAACAGTCACGAGGAGCTGAAAAACGCTTTAAACGAAATGCATAACAAAATGGAAACCACCACGGCTCGGATTGAAGAGGCAGAGGAGAGAATAGGGGAACTAGAAGAGTGAGGGGATGGAGAACTATTTATCATGTGACTGGAAGCCAAAAGAAAGCTGGAGTAGCCATACTTATATCAGACAAACTAGACTTTAAATTAAAGGCTGTAACAAGAGATGAAGAAGGACATTATATAATAGTGACAGGCTCTATCCATCAGGAAGAGCTAACAATTATAAATGTCTATGCGCCGAATACCGGAGCGCCCAAATATATAAAACAATTACTCATAAACATAAGCAACCTTATTGAGAAGAATGTGGTAATTGCAGGGGACTTTAACACCCCACTTATGGAAATGGATAGATCATCTAGACACACGGTCAATAAAGAAACAAGGGCCCTGAATGAGACATTGGATCAGATGGACTTGACAGATATATTTAGAACTCTGCATCCCAAAGCAACAGAATATACTTTCTTCTCGAGTGCACATGGAACATTCTCCAAGATAGATCATATACTGGGTCACAAAACAGCCCTTCATAAGTTTACAAGAATTGAAATCATACCATGCATACTTTCAGACCACAATGCTATGAAGCTTGAAATCAACCACAGAAAAAAGTCTGGAAAACCTCCAAAAGCATGGAGGTTAAAGAATACCCTACTAACGAATGAGTGGGTCAACCAGGCAATTCGAGAAGAAATTTAAAAATATATGGAAACAAACGAAAATGAAAATACAACAATCCAAATGCTTTGGGACGCAGCGAAGGCAGTCCTGAGAGGAAAATACATTGCAATCCAGGCCTATCTCAAGAAACAAGAAAAATCCCAAATACAAAATCTAACAGCACACCTAAAGGAAATAGAAGCAGAACAGCAAAGGCAGCCTAAACCCAGCAGAAGAAGAGAAATAATAAAGATCAGAGCAGAAATAAACAATATAGAATCTAAAAAAAACTGTAGAGCAGATCAACGAAACCAAGAGTTGGTTTTTTGAAAAAATAAACAAAATTGACAAACCTCTAGCCAGGCTTCTCAAAAAGAAAAGGGAGATGACCCAAATAGACAAAATCATGAATGAAAATGGAATTATGACAACCAATCCCTCAGAGATACAAACAATTATCAGGGAATACTATGAGAAATTATATGACAACAAATTGGACAACCTGGAAGAAATGGACAAATTCCTGAACACCCACACTCTTCCAAAACTCAATCAGGAGGAAATAGAAAGCTTGAACAGACCCATCACCAGCGAAGAAATTGAATCGGTTATCAAAAATCTCCCAACAAATAAGAGTCCAGGAGCAGATGGCTTCCCAGGGGAGTTCTACCAGACGTTTAAAGCAGAGATAATACCTATCCTTCTCAAGCTATTCCAAGAAATAGAAAGGGAAGGAAAACTTCCAGACTCATTCTATGAAGCCAGTATTACTTTGATTCCTAAACCAGACAGAGACCCAGTAAAAAAAGAGAACTACAGGCCAATATCCCTGATGAATATGGATGCCAAAATTCTCAATAAGATACTAGCAAATCGAATTCAACGGCATATAAAAAGAATTATTCACCATGATCAAGTGGGATTCATTCCTGGGATGCAGGGCTGGTTCAACATTCGCAAATCAATCAACGTGATACATCACATTAACAAAAAAAAAGAGAAAAACCATATGATCCTGTCAATCGATGCAGAAAAGGCCTTTGACAAAATCCAGCACCCTTTCTTAATAAAAACCCTTGAGAAAGTCGGGATAGAAGGAACATACTTAAAGATCATAAAAGCCATTTATGAAAAGCCCACAGCTAACATCATCCTCAACGGGGAAAAACTGAGAGCTTTTTCCCTGAGATCAGGAACACGACAGGGATGCCCACTCTCACCGCTGTTGTTTAACATAGTGCTGGAAGTTCTAGCATCAGCAATCAGACAACAACAGGAAATCAAAGGCATCAAAATTGGCAAAGATGAAGTCAAGCTTTCGCTTTTTGCAGATGACATGCTATTATACATGGAAAATCCGATAGACTCCACCAAAAGTCTGCTAGAACTGATACATGAATTCAGCAAAGTGGCAGGATACAAAATCAATGTACAGAAATCAGTTGCATTCTTATACACTAACAATGAAGCAACAGAAAGACAAATAAAGAGACTGATCGCATTCACAATTGCACCAAGAAGCATAAAATACCGAGGAATAAATCTAA